CGGCGGCCGGAGCCGGGGAGGGAGCAAGTCAGCGAGGGAGGGAGGGAGGGAGGGAGGCGGCGGGTCTCCTCTCCTCTCCCCTCTCGTTTGCTTGTCCCCTCCTCTCCGGTCCCCTCCCCTACGCTCCGTGCAGAGCGCCGCCCCCGCCCCTTGCACGCCTCCGGCCCCTCCCGGCCAGCCCGAGGGAGCCACTAGTGCCGGGCCCCGCGTTACCCAGGCAACCAGCCCGGGGACCACTCGCGCCCCCTCCCTGCCCCTTCCCACGCGCACCTCCAGGCGGGGCGCCCCCTTCCTAAGTCCCTGGCCCCTCCCGCCAACGGTCACCTGTGATCCTGGTAGAGAGGGGTTTGGGAGAAACGGAGAGGGGTCTGCGAGGAGACCGGACCAGGGAGACAGGCAGGACCGGGTGGAGGAACCCCTAGGAGCAGGAAGAGGGGGAGATGGGGCAAAACTCCGGGAAGCTGCAGAGGACTAGGGTGGGGTTTCAAGAGAGGTATCCTGCAGAACAGGAAGGCTCCTACCCCCAGGGAAACAGGAGCAGCCCCAGGAAAACACGAGCAGTACTGGATACTGGGAGACTAAAGAAAGGGTCTCTGGGAAGGGCAGAGCAAGGATGGGAAAGGGGGTTCCAAGGGGCAAGACAGAAGATGCAGGAACAGCCTGGACCAGCAGGTGGCTGAGGCAGCAGAGCTGGTGTAAAGGCAGGTTAGAGACCATGCCAAGAATGAGGGGAGCCAGTGCAGTTTTCCCAGCCTTACTGTCCCCAGTCCTAGGGTTCAGCCCTCCAACCTCTGCAGCTCTATCATCTTTCAGGACCTTAAGGGTGTGGATGTATCTGGCCAAGGTCTGAGCAGCAGGCACCAGGTATGGATGGGAGAGCCCATTTTTGTCCAGCAGGCCTGGGTTTCTAACCATGGGCCTTTATTCTGGCCTCGTCCAATTTGGATATTCTCAGGCTTGGGAGTCCTGGAACATGCTCTCTACAGCCCTTGGAGCCTTGGCCCCACCCTAAACCTGTGCTACAGTCACTAGGGCTTCCCCCAGGGAGAGAAGAGCCAGAGCCACAGAGGGCAGAGCAAGGCTAGGACTCACACCAGGCCCAAGCAGCCCCCTGGTAGTGCAGACTGAGACCTTGAGGAGAGCAATTCAACCCAGAGTCAGAGACAGATTTTTATTTAAAATTTATTGTAATGGGGTCCGCGCAAAAGGAGGGGGTGGAGGGTGGGGAACATGCAGGGGACACAGGAACACGATGACATGGCCAGGGCCACAGCTTCTGTCGTGGGGAAGAGGGATGAAAAGAAAAGACCAGGGCTGGAGCTGGGGTGGAAGAGGGAAGGGGAAGACACTGTGGCAGCATTCCCCCCACCCCCAGGAAGCACCTCTAGTCCCTGGGTCCCCGCATTTACCCTGACCCCGTATGATTCCATCTCTTGTCCTGCCTCTGGCCCTAGTGGCTCCTTCTTTTACTCCCCCTGACTTTTTCCCCCCTGACAAATTTTCAAGTAGGATGATGTCCAGAGCCTGACCCCAAACGACCCTACCTTATGAAGACCCAACCTTTGCCTTCCCTGCTTCTGCCCCTAGTCAAATCTTTTTTTTTCCCTCTTGGGGACAGAATCTTCAATTCCCCTTCTTTCTCTCCTCCCCCCACCCCTGGGAAAACCAGAAAAAAAAGAAAAAAAAAGAAAAAAGAAAAAGAAAGCACCAACTCCCCAGGGAGGGGCAGCAGACAGTAGTGGGGGGAAGGACTGGAAGGAGGAGAGCAAGGACCACTGAGGACAGGTTCACAAATCCCTGGGAGGGCAGGGGATTACAGAGAGGAGAGGGAGTACGGGCAGTGGCTGCTCCTGTCCTGTCACCCCTGCCCACTGTCCAGGGGACTTCAACACAACTGAGGGGACAGGTGTGTGTGGGGTCAGGTCAGATAGGGAGAAGAGAGGAGCAGGAGAAACAAATCGTTAAAACCTAGTGAATTGCCCTAAGAAAACATTTTTTCCTCCTTTCCTTCTGGAGGCTCCTTGGTTGGTGGGGAAGCAGTGAGGAGTTGGTGGAAAAAGAGAGGGAGAGAGGAGACTGTACCAAGGGACTTTCCTCCACTCTTCCCTCTCCCCCCACCAACTTGGAGCTCACCAGGGCTGGGAGGGAAGTGGCTGAGAGCTCACAGGTACCCCCTCAGCCCCCGAGAGGGAGCCCACAGCTGTGGGAGGGGCTGCCAATGCCTTCCGCCGCTCCCTCCCCCTCCCCCCCCCGCCGCCGCCATTGGACAAACCTCACCAGTACCTGCACAGTGAGAAACACCACAGATCACAGCGCCATCTGAATGGCAAGAACTTTGTCCTTTACCCCAGACTCTGTTCAGACTACTTCCCCTGGGACACAGCCGCTGCTCACTTCCTATCTTGTTCCCAGAGGCTTTGGCCTGCATCCTTACCCAGACAGTTCTCCTGAAGGGCCCTCCCTGTCCCCAGAAGGCTCCCTGACCTGAGTGACAGACTGGCATCCCTGGCCTTCCTGAGATCCCCTAATGGGCCCCTTAAGTCCCCTTGTCCCACACTCCCCATCCCGCCTCCCCAGCCATGCCCCACGCCTTGCCTGGTGGGTGCGGGGGTCCCCCTCAGCAGGTGGGTTGTGGCTGGGGAGCATCTCCCGGGACAGGGGGGGCGGCCCCCCCAAGATGGGTCTGCATGTGGCCGGCCAGCTGGGCAGGGGTCTTGCAGTGCACGCTGCACAGCTTGCACAGGATGCGGTCAGCCCGCGGGGCCTGGAGCCCATGGTCCTTCACCGCGTGGATGCGAAGGTATGCTGCTGTGGTGAAGCCTATGGGGGGGGGTGGATTGGGATGGGGGATGGGGGTCAGCCAGATGGAGACCCCAGAGACAGGGTTGTTCTCCTAGGCTGGGGACACCCTCAGGTGGCCCTGTTCTCCTCCCACCACATCCTTAGTAGCCTAGGGCCAACTACTCTGCTGGGGGCTATGGGGGACAGCTCCTCTCTGAGCTCAGGGCCTGGTTTGAGTGGTGCCTGCTCCTCAGCCTTGGTACTTCAGCGCTCACTCCGTGCCTGGGAGATCTCTCCCAGGATGATGGGACACTGACTCCTAGCTACTTCAAGGGCTGAACCTCAGCAGAGACGGCTGTGTCCCCTCCCTCCAGTGCTCCCCCCACCCCCCAGTCTCAGCCCAGGTACTCAGGGAATAAGCGAGCCTGTTACCAAGCAGCCTTCTCTGCTCCGATGGCAGGGTGAGTGCACATTAGACCCTGGCGAGTATACTCCACTTGCCCCAGAAGCTGGAGACGAGAACTGGGCTGCACAACTGAAACCTCGCCTCTGACCCTTCAGAACTGGCTCTCTTGACTGTTCCTTCCCTTAGCAGCCGTGTCCCACTCTCATTCTCCCTGCACATGCCCAAGAGGCTGCACCCAGAAGGCTGATCTTTAAAGTAGATCATCTCCTCCATCCGTGACTTCTTAGAATTTAGTGACGTTCAGTTATCCCCAATGCTGCTTCATTTCCTTCCTAAAGGGTTCCAGGTGCCTCTGGAAGGGCCTCTGGCTCTGCCCACCCTGTGCCCAGCCCCCCCAGCATCCCTCAGCATGTACCTTTGTTGCAGAGCTCACAGACATGGTGAGGGCCCTGGCTGTGCACCTTCATGTGGTCCGAAATATAAGCCGAGCTCAGCATCTTGCCACACACGTGACATGGCACCTTCTCCTCGTGTCGTACTGTGTGCGCCCGGAGTCGATCCTTCGTAGCAAAAGCTGCCTCACATTTCTGGGGAGTGGGAGGGGCGTGGGGGGGTGTCACAGGAGAGTTAAAGCTTTGGGAAGTGGGGAGAGGGGAGCAAGAGGTTAAAGGAATTAGAGCCTTGGGGGTCTTTGATCTGTAGGAAATGGGGGTGAGATGATGAGGCCTTGAAGAGGGGATGAGAAAATGGAGTGAAAAGGCAAAAAGAAGAGAGAGAAAAAGGGGGTCTGAGAGGCTGAACTCAGACAGCTACAATGAGGATCAAAATCATGAGAACCAGGACAGGAGGCGGCGGACTTCCTACCTCACATTTGAAGGGCCGTTCTGTTGAGTGCACTTGTCTGACGTGACTGTTGAGGTGATCCGGCCTACGGACATGTTGGGTTGGGGTTAGGACGGAGGCCCTGGGGTTGAAGAGGTGTGCCCCAAATCTGACTAACTTTGCACAGCAGGCCTTGCCCCAAGTGCCCACGTTTACCCTGAGATCAAGGCTCCAGCCCTTCTGACGCAGGAAATCCCTCCCCTCAGACCAAGCTTCCTCCTCTCCTCCCACTGGAAGCGCAACTCCAACCCAAAGACCCACCTCCTTTGCAAAGTACCACCCCCTGCTCCCTGGTAACCAGGAGAGGCTTTCCTCCCTCCTCCCTGGGAGTGGCTCCCCTTCCCCTCAGAAGCAGCCTCCCTCCCCACCAGCCAAGGCCTGGCCACCTCGGTTGCCGTCCCTCCCTCCCCACCGGCCTGTGGGCGGCCGAGGCCCCGTGCACACCGGGAGAAGCTCTTGCCACAGTGGGAGCAGTTGTAGGGCTTGTGCACAGCGCCGTCATGTGAGCGCACGTGGTAGCTCATGCGGTCCTTGCGCTTGAAGCGCTGCTGGCACACCGGGCACTGGTAGGGCTTCTCGTCCGAGTGCGACAGCTTGTGTCGGTTCAGGTGGTAGACGTCGCGGAAGGCCTTGCCGCACATCTCGCAGGCGTGGTTCTTCCGGATGCGCTTTCCCGAGGCGGTCGTGGTCACCACGCCACCGGCGGCCACTGCGGCCGCGCCGCCGCCTGCACCCGCTTCTCTCCCTCCCCCGCCGGCTCCACTCAGCTGGGGCACGCTCAAGAGGCTCAGGGGCACCATGGTGGGCATCTTCATAGCACCCGAGGGGACGCGGCCGGCCTTGGCTCCCGTGTGGATGGCTTCGTGCCTCCGGAGATTGTAGCCGTTCTTGAACTCCTTGGCGCACAGGGCACAGATATAGGGCCCCTTGCTCTTTGTCTTCTTCTCCAAGGCAGACGCGACAGGGGCCACGGCGACCGTCGAGGTTGGGGCTACGACGGCGGT